CCTAGTCGGTACTACGTCATTTTCAGGTTTCCAAAACTGTCTGATGTCCACACATACACTGCCTTCACCCACATTACAGAACACGTTACCTCCAAGACAGGGCTCGACATTAACGGTTGTCCGACTGCCCGGGACAACTAAAAGTTTGGTCCGGGCAAGTTATTTTGAAAAGCACTTGTCCGACAGGGCAAGTGAAAATAAAAAGCATCATTGACAAAATGCATGTACAAAATGAATAGAAATAACATCTTTTCATTTATAAACATCTTAAAAACAAAAATACACCATGAATTATTATCAATAATGTGAATATACTACGGTCATGTACATTTGTTGATATAGGAAACGGAAGCAAAAATATGAGCATGCGCCGCGGTAAGGTAATTCTCTGTTCTAATAATAGACTATATCTAATTTTGTACAAGGTAATTCCCGGGTTATGCTGTTGTTTAAATTTTGATGTTTGCATGTAAAGATATCATTGAAAATATGTAGATAATCATATTGATCTTTAAATATAATTGTTAAATAAAGTTTTTGCATTAAAAATGATTTATTGTTTAATCTAATATAACAACATTATGAACTTAGTAAACGAAGACTCGTTTACGGCTGTTGACTTGACGATTGAACGGGGGAATTTCCTTACCGCGGCGCATGCTCATATTTTTCCTTCCGTTTCCTATATCAACAAATGTACATGACCGTAGTATATTGACATTGAATAAACAGATGAACCGATGTTTTAGAAAAACTACTAAATACAAAAAATATTTATGAGCTTGTTTGTTTTTCTGATTTATACATTTTTACCATTTTTAGGTCAGGACAAGTAAGTCTTAGGTCACGGGCAAGTAGTTTTAAAAACTACTTGCCCGACAGGACAACCTGATTCAAAAGTTAATGTCTAGGCCTGCAAGATGAGTGTTATAGGTCTGTCTGTTTTGAAGTGTCTGGTCAACGTATTCTATCGCATCTGTTAAGTTTTTCCATCGCATTAATGTTAACCAAATACCCTTTTTTGTGGGTTTGTCGTCCTGCCATTCTCTGATGTCAACTCTAAGCTCACCTTTCCATTCATTCACTTGCACATATCTTTGGTTTCCAAGACTGTACTTGCATCTTGAATTGTTTGCCATGTTTGCTCGTCGAGTATCAGAACTCTAATGACATAGGTGATCGTTACACCGTCTTTTATAGATCAAAGTCTCTTCTGATTGGTCATTTTTTTTTTTTCCGAGCATTTGATTGGTTACCTTCAGCCTGTAATAAAAGAGAAACTGCTGTTAGATTGGACAATGTCAATTCTAAATTTAGATCAGCGCATGCGTAAGATGCATCGTAAATATGACTTTAGCCATTTAGTGATTGTACGTCATAGAGTAAACATCATGATGTAGTAAGTTAAGTTTTATTTTAAGTACATATCTTAGTTTCTGTGAAAAATGTTAAAAAGAAAAAGCGTTTATGTATGAGTGATTTTAATTTCGATTTTAGTCCGTATTCATAAAGAGCGGCTTGAGACATTTCATTTGATACCAAACACGCCTAAGATCGGTCCAGGCGTGATACAGAAAACACGTTTTTACGCTTTAGTGATTTCAGTTCCGGTCCAATGGCTTTTTAAATAGCGTCAGGTAACAGGTGTGGTAAAATGCTTTCCAACGATACCAAACACGTGTATATTCGGTCAAGTAATAACGAAGAAATCGATTTTGAAATTTCCGTGACGTCACTTCCGGTGACTTTAAACTCGAATTACACAAAAACGGTAAAAGATAAACCCATAAAACTATATATTTTCTTTATCAGCGCGACGAGACGAATCGATTGGAAAACAGTTGTAACGTTTTTATTGACTTTCGCAATTTAGGGTTTAAAATCGCTCTTGCGTCATAACTCAAAAACGGCTGAAAATCGAATCGACAATGGGGTGTACATTAAAGGTAATGAACTGTTCTTTCAATTGGTAGTCAACAATTAAAAATCATATCGGATTCGGTTGCTCTAGTAACCAAAATATATATTTTTACGCATGAGTGATTTTTGACTTCCAGTATGAACTTTACTATCGCCAGCGTCAGAATGTACTCGTCAAGACCTTCAATTTGATAACAAACATGACTATGTTTCGTTCATAAACGAAAAAGTTATGCGCGTTTTTCCGCATGAGTGATTTTGTCTGCCATATTGAAACTCTCCTATCTCAGAAACAGTAAAAGATAGATCTATATAATAATACATTTTCTGTATCTACTGGCAGAGATCTTTCAAACGGCATATATAAATCTAAGGTTTTATGAACTTTAAAAAAATGGTTTAAAAACCTCGTTCTTCAATTTCATTGGCTAATCAAAAATAGCAATACCGGTTTAAACCTGTCGTAACTGGACCGTTTAACGATAGGCTATAGTAACTTGTCATAAATAGTTTGATAGGCAAGGAGTAAAGACTGGGGGTAAGCTTATTTTAGTTATTTTAATGATTTTTACGCATGAGTGATTTTAATTTCGATTTTAGTCCGTATTCATAAAGAGCGGCTTAAGACGTTTTCATTTGATACCAAACACGCCTTAGTTCGGCAGAATCTGTATAATTGATGCGTTGTAAAAATAAACCATCTTCATTGGTCCATATTTCAATTAATTCATCCCCTCCGGTTTATCAACCGTAACAGAAAAGGTCCGTCAATTCTATTAATCTTTTGTGATTAATGAAAAGCTATATTTAGTAACGAAGGATAAAGGGTTTTTGTTCAACATAGTTCCGCTAGGTATTGTAAATCTAGACTAAGTGGCGACTGTACTTGACGGTCGCTGCGTTTGAAAGGATAATAGATTCTTTTGTGATTAATAAAAAGTTATATTGAGTAACGAAGGATAAAGGGTTTTTTGTTCAACATAGTGCCGCTAGGTATTGTGAATCTAGACTGAGCGGCGACTGTACTTAATGCCTTTTTCTTTCATTGACACCCGCGTGGGGCTGATGAAATAGCTCCTGGTGGTTGTGAAATACCGCGACTAAAAATAGATCATGCGCAGTCTACAAGAACGTTACGCTATGACAGTCATTTCCTTACTAAATGTAGGTAAGTAAACGAGTTATATTTGTATCAATATTATTTTGAACCTATTAAAAAACTATTTTTTATAAATTAAAATGTTAAGTACGTATCTATTTACAAACATTTCTTTTATCTGTCATAATGGTAATTATCTCTCCGTCTAGGGCCGAGGACCTGACCCTCAATGTCCGCGATTCAAGCCCTAAATCGTGTATACGAGTCAGCTCCGTATACTTCCGGGAGATTAAAAATAAATTTATAAAAATAGACGGATGATCACATTCTAAAAATAGAACGATGATGTCATTCTAAATATAGAATCCAATATGGCGCCGCGCATGCGCAGTCGTGGCCCTAAACCGACCCCTATACTACTCCCATAAATAAAGACCACATGTCAATAAAGACCACATACCCTACCTGAGTGATCTTTATATATAACTTTGACTGTAATGTATGCACTTCATAGTTATGTTGAAGTATATTTTACAATATGTCTTTACTTAAGCTGACAAAAACACAAATTGTACTTTTTACTCTTAAATTACCTGATGCATTGGAGCGGTTTGAAGTACGTTTTCAGAAATCCTTTCCAGTCTCGCCATGTCCATTTAGGGTAACGGATACAATGGCTTGTAGATGACGATTGATTTACAACTTCCGTAAGTTGGCCAAGAGCATCCGTGTCTGTCCTGCGGTAAATTGTTTAATGCGGGCAAAGCCAGCATCAACATGGCAACGAGCGTGACCAGGTATCTGCATCATATATTCTATCTTCTCCTGACGTCCAGACAGAACAAGCCACATTAAATATCCCAGCATATAGTAGTTTTTATTCTGTCCTGAAATACAAATAAATACACTAAAAAAAATTAAAATAATTGCTGTACCATGTTGAGTTTAATTAGATTTGGTAATTAAATCTGGCAAATTCACATTAAAATCATCAATATTTGTTATTATTATGATAATATACTTAATATCAATGTGTGATTATGTGTGATTAGGTTACCGACTTTTATTATTATTAACCCTGCGCCATCTGCAGGAAAATTTTTAACAGCCTTTAAAAACATATTTTGGAATCAGATGATAGGCCATTTCATCAGTATTGAACTAATTTGTAGCAAAACAGTGTGGTTTTTTTTTTACAATTTATGCACACGTGCATGCATGCACGTTCAACGCATAACGCAATGATTGATGAATTATTACAAAACTTTTTGCTATAATGAATTAAGTAAATAATTTCAATAAATTTATAAGGCACTTTATGACGAACATACCTGGGCAGGTATCGGCATGTAGTGAAATTGTTGGTCCCTCCGCATTGTCCCTTTCTATCACCCAGTCCACCATACTGATAACAGCGTTAGGTCCGTGAGTTTGAGTACCATCAGGGCCAATAGTCTCATTCTCGTCTACAAGGAAGTTGTATTGTGTTGATGTTCCGTCATTGCGTACACCAAACAATTGCACTTTGCGCAATGTCATAAAATAAGTTGGCCCCATCTGTCTTGTACGGAATGCCATTAGGGCCATTGTCGACAGTACGATGGTGAAAACACGATAGTTTATCGCGTTTTCATCATCGTAGTATCGTACTGTCGCGTTTTCATCATCGTACTATCGCGTTTTCATCATCGTACTTTCGCGTTTTCACCATCGTAGTTTCGTGATTTCGCGTTTTCACCATCGTACTATCGACTATCGTGTTTCAGATCAACACATTCATAGGCGATGGCCCTAACGGCATTCCGTAGTCTTGAATGGTGTGGTAGCGATAAAATCTGGCTGAAATCAAAGGTGAAATGAGAATGTCGCCTGTCCCCTGCCTCAAACAGACCTTTGGCATATACAATGCATTTGTTGTAGACTTCTCTTTCTTTTTGTGCGTTGACAATGTGCTCTGCGAGTGCCCTGCAATTTTTCATCCTCGGTTCTGGAATTCATCACAACTTTTCCTAATTTTTCACAAGTTGCACAAACATCGTCGCGTGAAGATGCAATGTTGATGTGTGGTAAACATTGCTTCCAGATGTTGCAGAAAGTTTTATAATGAACAGCCCTTTTTGTTGTTACAGATTCAAGGCACGATGTTTCGTATTTCTTGTGAATATCAAGTTTTGTAGTAGCACTTGGTTAGTAAACTGGCGGTATGTTGTCTGATCCACGTGGTGCAGCCGGTTGTGGTATACCTATGTCTTCAGCAGTTTGGGAAACATATGTCACCGCATGTTTAATATCTTCAAACTTTAAAGATTTGACAGGTTTTTTCCCTTTGTTACCGTGAATTCTTTGAACCACACCATGCTGATCAACATGTGTCAGGATATTTTGAAGAGCGCTCCGCTTGATATAAAAGGCTAACAATTACACACTGGTTTCCCCACTAATGAAAAGTCATGTTTACCTTTCTGACGTTTCTTCCCGCGCTTTGTCAATTCATTCTGAGGGCTGTTAACTACAGTTGCCATTATATACAGTTCTTTATCTTGTTTTTCCATTTCCCTAATATTCAATATGTTATCAAAAATGTCTGAAATAGTAAACTGTTTAATGCAGTTTTTCTTGCACCCACAACCATTCTTATGATACATGGTAATTCTGTTCACGTCTTCATCATTTTGGGGCAGATCACAAATTAACTTCTGCTTCACCCTCGCTGTCACTAGTAACAGAAGCCCCTGTTGTGTCATCTGGAAGCGTGTCTATGTAGTCTTGGACCCGCTGATCAACATCTAACTCGGGATCATCTTCGTCAGAGTCTAAACACAGGGTAGACACATCAACCCCTCCTGTGATCCCAAGGGTGTCGAAACGGGCGTCACACCAAAGTGCTCGGAAAGCAAACTCTCCAAATCCTGTAAGATAAATAAATCCGGTGAGTACTGACGATTATGACAAATCACACAGCTTCGGCGTTAATAAATGGGCTAATGTAAAATAAAAACATTTCAGTCATTGCAGAATACAAATTTTCCTATAATATACAAATGCTTGCCCACAAAAAATCATACACAGACTGCATTTTATTTCAATTAAAGGTTAATTTGTTAAAAATTTAATTTGACACAGAATTCTCCATCGCAGTTTATAAAATATGATTGTTAAAAAAAAAAATAATAAAAAAATAAAAATCCGCGCGTCAGGAATGAACCAGCAAACCACTGACTACTAGTTATTGACACTAACCGCTCGGCCATGTCAGACAGACATTGTTTAAGTACAGTATAAATTAAGTGATTTAACCTTAATCGTTCAGATTTAGATCAATAGCGTATCCATTTCGAAACAAAACCAACTAAGTTTTCTAAAATTTAAATAAAACTTATCGACGTTGAAATATATTGACATTAATATATATTATTAAAAAAAATACTTAATCCTAAATAATTTTTAGATATTGATTCGATGTCATTCTGGTAGTGGTGGGGTACACAGAAATGTCTTCCAAATTTAGCGAATAGGGGCCTACATTAATTTTATCTGAGAAACAATCTAAACGAGTATGTCAAGAAATGTATAAGAGCAAAATCAACCAACTCTTTGAATGTTTATTACTGTGTTGCTCGGTATAAGTTTATCCATCCAGTTACAACAATCACACAATATTATTTTGTTTACGCACCATATTTTCCTGATTCACTCTGGCGTAAAATACATCTATATAGGAACAATTGAACAATTATTGTGCGATATACCTAGTCTAGAGTTGATAAAATATATAACTACTACATACCTCTATATCGTTATCCATTTTAATATCCAGAAAATGTCAAAATTTATCATGTAAACACTGATACATAAAGGTCACTGAACTCACATGTGCTTGCAAGTATGACGTCATATTTATCGAGAAATTCCCAACGTCATATAATCGATGTCATTTTGGCAGGTTTTCCTGGAGAACGGCTCATATATAAAAAAAAGATAATGGTTAATAAAAGATGCAAGGGTCTAAAAAGAATAATCAGATACAAAAAGATTTCTTTAATAAGAAAACTATCAAAAGTTCATTTATTTGCAGCATATCTACATGTCATCTTGACATTTTCAGATATTTTTTATGCTCTACAATGGAAAAGACAACAATTTGAAATATGAAATCAATCCATTCAGAAACAAAATTTATAAGGGCAAAACGATTATGAAGTTAAAGTATTAAAAGATGAATTATAAGTTCAAAGAGGACATAACTATTGAAATAGCTAGAGTTATAAACCTTGTCATGCATGATGTAATGACACAGAACAACTATCTTAAGTCTACTGGTTGAGAACCAGTGTCCGGACAAAAATTGAAGTTTTTCGTTCGTTAAATTTTTGATAATATACGTATGCTAATAAAATTCGCCATACCAAAGCTTGAGCTCTAGCCACGTCTCAAAATGTAATTTATACTGCCTGGTGAAGTTGATAACATAAAAAAATGAACGATTAAAGAAGGGCATTAAAAGGATTTATTTCTCACGATAATTAAACTGTAATCGCTGACTTTTCTTAGTAAATTAAATACATTCTACGTTTCTCAAATTTTAGCTTGTAATGATGATGTATGCACTTTTTTTTGCGAGTAGAAAAATGAACTCTGGGAATATGTATGTACCTCATGAACCACTGAGAAATTGCCATGCAGCGTGATTGCATTTTTTAAATTGTGGATAAAGCACAAAAGCAGATGAAACTTTTTTTAACATCTATAGAATTTTATTCGTAACAATTTGCCAAATATCTTCAGTAATTACTACATTATATCCAAAAAATGATGAAAACTGCCAAATATGAATAATGTATTGTGTTTTACGATTTTTAGCCAATGAAACGGGAAAATAGCGTTTAGCGTTTGAGTGTCTACCTGACAGATGTTTCTCTATTATGGTTTATTCAAGTAAAAAATAAACGCAAAGCATGTATGAATAGCTATGCTTATCTTTATTTTGAAAATCATTAATTAATCATAAATTTATTGTAATATGCATATTTAATTTAATTTCAAATATAGCTTATCATTTAACTGACATAGATTTAATGCATTGCTTGACAAACAAATTTGTATTAAAACCAAAGCTAGTAAGAAATGTGCAACAACTTTTATCAATAAGTGTTTTTCACTCCTCTTCATACAACCATGGTTTACACCGCTTACAGAACCATTTATCTCCACCTTCCTCTAAGCTCTCCCGTACATACATCCTTTCACAATCTGTCAAGCACTCCTCATGATACCACCGTTGGCATAACTCTTCATCACACCCAAACCAAAACCTTCCATTAACCTCATCATCTACAAGGCCATGCAACCCACACACCTCACACACATACATCCCAGCCATAAGTGCTGCAGCGGCAGCCGAATTCGCTTCTTTTTCTTTCCTTTTTTCTTTTCTTGCTGCTTTTCTCCTTTTCTCGTTTAGTTTAAGTTCCTTCTCCTCCTCTCTCTTTTTCTTTTTTGCGCGCCTCTCTTCCTCTTCTTCCAATCGCTTTTCCTTCTTCATTTCCCTTTCTTTCTTTCTCCTCTCAATGTCCTCAACTTTCTTCTTCTCAAGATCTTCTTTCTCCTAAAATGTATTAAAAATGCGTCTTAATCATAAGCACTAAAATATCATCGAAGAAATGATTTCTTGAAATGTAATTTCCTGCGAGGCCAGTTGTGCTTGTATCACATTTTTTTTATCTTATTCTTTTGTTGTACTATTTCAAATGCATAATTTATATGATTAACCATTATACGTATCATATGATTTGCTGAATAAAACTTTTAATAGAGACAAACCTTTAGCTGTTTAAGCATGTCTTCTCCACTTATCAAACGACCCTCTGCCACAACCCTCTTTTTTCGTTTCGCTTCGGCGGGCTTTACTGGTGGAGGCATCAGAACGTCTGCAAGACTTGCTGGAATCAATCCACGTTTTACGAGTGGATTTGATAAAAAGTGGCCACATTTATCACAAGTCTTTACTTGTTCATCACTTTCGTTTTCTAGAAAAAAATGAATGTAACAAGTTTGTTCATTTTCAAAAGTTTTTTACACTTCGTTATATCAAACTGATTATGTCATAAACTACCAGGATTAAAAAATCGTTCGAACCGCTCAGCTGCACTAATTGGTGTTTGTCTTCTATAAAATTGCCCATCTGGAACTAAACACTTAAATAATAGGGCAAACTGGGTTAAATTGACAAAGAAATAATGAGCAAAATTTAATCTTATTACCTCCGTTACGATGATCAAATGAAGCTTCCACCAGCTGTGAAGTATCAATGGCCTGTGGATTGTATGGGCATATTCCAGTAATAGCAAATGCCTCCTGAACTGATGCTGGAGTAGCACTGTCAATTGCATGTTTTAGTACAATAGGAAATTTTGCTTTCCCAATACTTACACCAGCACCACCTAAACCAAGTCTTGCCGTCATTTCAGAAAAACGACTCTTAAGTGGGCCTATTACCTGAAAGATATTTTTTTCAATATTGTATGTACAAATGTATTGAGAAACAATTAAAGATAGGGCTATTGCTCATTTAAATTACAGACATCTAGACCTATTCTTTTTATTCTCTTCCATGCTAGTCTCAACTATGTATTTTACTAAGATAATCTTTTAATTGTAATGCAACCTTGAACCTAAGCAAATTTGAACAACTAACTTTAAATAAAATGCGTGTTCACTAACAATCTTTATATGAATGAATCAGAAAATTACATGAACGTTACATACTTTTACGTCAAGAGGTTGTAGGATATGAGTGGTGTGTCCCGGAAGTCCTACCAAAACTACATCATTCGCAATGGCTGTTTTGACTACTTCACCGCTGATATGTGCGTCACAATTATCCATTAAAAGGACAACAGGACGCTCCCGGCCGCAGTTGGGAATGAAAAAATCTGCAAACCATCTTTGAAATAACTGGGTGTCCATGTAGCCATTTTCACTGGTTGCATATCCCCAGCAATCTGGTATTCCATCAGTATATTTACGGTGTGGAAGCGAACCCTTGTAAAATAAGTCATATATTACAATTTTGTAACTTATCATTTAAAAAGAAATATATGAAAATAGATTTATTACGAAATTGTATAAAACAAGGGCATACCTATCACACATTATTAAAAGATAGAATGCGACGTACTACTTGAATAAATTCGGGACATTGAAATAAAAATAATCACGGTTCTGCTATATTTTTAGTGATTTCTTATGTTAATTATTTCAGAACTACATTGTACCTGGTATATAACCATGGTTGGCAAAAATCTGCCATCTGCGCAAACACATAAATGCGCAGTGATATGATCAGTCGTTGTGACTCTTCGTCGAAATACGTGTCCTTTTTTCGGTCCAATAACTTTTGATCTGGCTGTTTCTCTCCCAGAAAATCCAGTCTCGTCACAATTAAAAATCTAAAATACATTAAATGTAAACATTGCCCGATGTGAATAAGAAATGAATAACAATTATTGTATCATAGTTTGGGTACCTTTCTGTTGAAAAAGTGTCAGAGTTAAATCGTATACATATACATGTACAGTGCGGTAACTGGAGTGCGGGTATCAGTTACCCGCACTCCAGATAATGCCCGTGGATTGGTTCATTTTTCCCGGGGTTTACATATTGTGACGGCAGAGAAAGGGAAAGGGGCAGAACTATCATATTCAAATGCTCGTTCATTGGTTAATTTTTTCTGGGGTTTCATATTATGACAACAGGGAACGTGCTGTCATGTTTGACTATGATACAAAAGAGAAAGAACACCAAAACACTCGGCAATCTGATTTATACTCGGGGGCTACGCCCCCTCGTACAAATCAGATAGCCTCGTGTTTCGGTGCTCTTTCTATTACTTATATGAACAAAGTAGACAATACGAAAATAAACGACAACTGACGCATGCGCAAATATCAAAAATAATTTCCCGCGTCTAGTATACGGACTGCACACGGCAAAATGAATACTAATGTAACAAATGAAAACGACTCAAGACGCATAGGAGAAAAAAGCTGACCTTCGAATTAACATGTGAAAAGATAATTCGAGTAAGATTTCGCTGTAGTAGCAATATAATTTCAAATTTAAATATACCTGCGACGGCTTGTCTTTGACGCCATATTTTCCAAGAATGTCGTCCAAAAGAACAAAGAAATCAGCCATTACTTTCCTGTTAGACATTGAACATCTTGCCTTGTCGGAATTTTCTGGTTTTCTTTCGGATAATTCCGGGTGCCGCTGTATGAATTTTTTCAGCCACTGATTTGAAGGCCCTTTATCTAAATTAAAAAGTGTGGTCCGCCCTGAAAATTTGTGAATACGTTTTAATTATTTAATATGTGCACCGACAATTTAATAATATTTTCACTTGTGTGGTATTTTACGTGTTTATCACTTGTGTGGTATTTTAAATGTTTAATTGAAGTCAGCATGACAAAGTAATCATAGATTTATTCGGCACCTCGTTAGCCGTTTCACAAGCGTTTTACTAAATGTGCATGACTTAGAAAATGTATAATATGAAGCATTAAGTTTAGAGCATGACAAAACTCTTACCAGAACGTTTAACAATTGTCTGAATATATGCTCTGGTCATTTGCCTATTTAGTGGAAATCCCTGATTTGCCATGTGCAACAGGTAATTAACCAAACCAGCTTCCTCCTCGGGCGTAATCTGCCGACTCGGCCCCTTTACTGATGTTTCATAACGACCCCGAATACGGTCAGATAAAGTTGACTTTGGGACGCAGTATTCCGCTGCTGCTTTTCTAATCTTCATCTTGTTCTGCTTTACAGCAGAAATGGCCATTTTCATGCTGGCTTCATCGTATTTCTTCCTGACCATACTAGAAAAACATAAATACAGGTAAAAAATTAACAATTTCTATGTCAGCAAAAATTCTGAGTTAAAATTTCTTTCAAAAATTGTTAATGAAACTAAATATTAAGCATCATTTTAATATGCGCAGTTTTACATACAGCGGAGATAAAGGGAATGTACCGTACAGAAATAATTACTGCACCAATTGTACTAGTTGTCTCCCTTGGATAGAAAAATTGGCGATGACCCATCTCCTTTTTTTACTTTATTTCTTTTTTCTTCTTTTTTTAAAAAAAATTGTTTTAACAGTAATATTTTTTTATGTTATCAACTTTCTGATATATACGCAATTTATATAAAAAAATATTAAGAAAAGGAAGGTAAGAAAAGTCGTCTGCATTATGCAATTGTTTGGGCCCCGGATTGTATCCAAAAATAGACAAAACCATGCGCATGCGCAGAGTGCACTAAAAGCCCCGAAGGGAAGTAAGGCTGTTTTAATAATACAGGTAAGATGTTTTTATGATATTTTTGATGTCCTCACCTGGAAAGAAGTTTATTCTGTCAAAACGTAAAAACAACCGTCCTGATGATACAGATGAAAGATCGGTATCGATAAATTCAAAATAAAGCCGTTATCGTACTTGTCCGGAAACTATTATTGTCCGGAAACTGGTTCTCAACCAGTAGAGTAGATATCATTTTATAAGATAATACTGAAAAAAATATAACATTTTCAAAGAGAGGGGGATAATAATACTAGACATATTCACACTAGGGTTATGAATCTTATAACACATGATGTCAGTGATAATGTGTAACAAATATTTGAAGGTACAAAATAGTTATCTAAAGAAATAAAGAACTTATAGTACAATATTTTATGTTTCTTCCAGAGTGTGTTTTTGCGTTTTGTGACGCATTTTTACAGCCTTGACACAATGAGAAGATTCAATTAGTGCATTTCCTGTAACAGTAATTTATTCTCAGTCAATTTACAGTTAATCTCAAATTATGCCAATTTCAAATTAACAAATTCAAATACATATCATGCACTTCATACTTTCAATTGTCTATTACCTTTGATGCACGTTAGTGGTGCGGGATATAATTATATCCAATTCTTGTCCACTTTTCTATCAATTAATTATCCCATTTCCAAAACAAACTCATAAACACAACCCTCTTTCAATCATTATACATTTTACAATCTACCTGTATTCAGATTATTTATTTCGGAACCATTGTAAATATAACATGGATCAGAAAAGGTAAGTTACATGTGTATGGATAGTATAGTAATACTTATTGACCATAGTACTTGCAGAGAGACGTTGTAGTGTAGTGGTAGGGTGCTGTTATTTTAATCAGACTGGTGCGAGTTCAAATCCTAACAGTTCCATTTCTATCAAATTAATTTTTTTCAATGCAAGGGTACTTCGTGTTTGTGTCATGCATATAAATTACACATCTCATGTTCAAAATTCAGTTTAGATTTTGTGCTACACATGACATAATCTCTTGCAACAAAAATCATCTATTTTATTGTGAGCACACGAGACTTGAGCATGTTTGGTGTATGTTATGGTGCTGTAACAAGGACGTCGTCACACTTTTTGAACTTGACTACATTGGACACTTGTCATCGCAAATGGTGCGATAAGGTTCGATGTCTATCACCACAACACTGTGTGGTTGAAGATTGGGATTAGCTTTTGATAGTCGCTTGGTGAAAATCTTGCCATACATTTATCCGTGGAAATCACCTATTGAGGTATTCACTTGGCACCGGGGACGAAGTCGCCACTGGCGCGACTGAGCGTGGGACAGAAGTTGAAGACAATTTTTGAATTGCTGAATTCAATTTGATTTGTAACTTATTATATATGCTATAGCAGATATATATAAACATGAAATAAGTTCATTAAGTAAAGTTAAGTGTAGAAAAAGAATAAATAAACAAGAGGGCCATGATGGCACTGAAATCGCTCACCTGTATATAGACCCTTGGGGTGGGGCTAATTTTAACCCAGGTTTTTTTTTTTTTTAAACCAACTTGGTAGACACACATTAGAAGATGTTCCATAATAAATATCTAAGCTCTAGCTCTTTGGGGTTTTTAAAAGAATTTTTTAAAAGTTTTTACGATAGACATATAAGGAAAATCAGACCCCCGGCGCGGGGCAGATTTAACCCTGGGGGTTTTATTTGAACAAATTTGGTAGACACTCACTTGAAGATGTTTCATTCCAGGGCCTTTTTTTTCCTTCTATTACAGGGGCCGGTATAGGGCTGCTTCCCCAAAGAAAATTTCTTTAAAATCATTTTCCCCACAAATTTAATTTACATCAAGTTTGTTCTTCCCCTTTTGCAAATACACCGTGTAATTTATCCCAAAAATTAAGGGCTTGGCTGCTTTCCCATCTTGTGGGAAAAAGCCCTGCATTCTTAATATCTAAGCTCTAGCTCTATAGGTTATTTAAAAGAAAGTTTTTACTTTATAGAGTACCCCCAGGGGCGGTGTCAATTTTGATTCCAGGGCTTTTGTTGCATTGTCTTATAAGGTGCGGCGGATGATAATGAACAAATATTTAAAGTTTTAAGTTATTAACATAAGAAATTAACAAAATACACTCGTAACACTGTAGTTAAAATATTGTAGACTACTGCACAAAAAAATGACCTGAAATCTTGACTACGGACACCGAGTATGCTGGACAGCTTCATTTTTAGAGCTTAAATTAAATTAACGGTTGTTAGAAATATATTTACATCCGTTTTGTTGAGCTAAAATAATATAACGTTTGATAGAAATATATTTACAGAATAGGACCGAATCAAAATACTTTTGGCACATGTATTCAGGAATTGGCGCCTTTTTACGCAGAAGCGTATATTTCGCCAGTTCTGCTCTTTTTTAAACATAGCATAGTTTTGGATTTTATTCCTCATTTCATACCTTGTCGTCTCTTATTTTATCTATTAAGTGACTAGGAACATCACGACCCTCTAGAAATGTGAACATGTCAACAGGAATGTCTGCGCTAGCATCCATCGTCACAGCAAATGGCGTTTTATAAAATAAGGGGCACTACTCGGTGCGATGACCAATGTTGTAATCCTATCTCCTATGTATGAGTTATTAAGTCCTACGTAGGAGTTATAAAGTCCTACGTAGGAGTTTAAAAGTCCTACGTGGGTATGAGTTTAAAAGTCCTACGTAGGAGTTTTAAACTCCTAATTAGGCTTTTTTATCTCCTACGTAGGAGTTTAAAAGTCCTACGTAGGAGTTAAATTAAGTCCTACGTAGGAGTTACAAAGTCCTACGCAGGAGTTTAAAAGACCTACGTAGGAAAGTCCTACGTAGGAGTTATAAACTCCTAATTAGGCTTTTGTATCTCCTACGTAGGAGTTCTCTTTTTTTTAAAGAACATTATTAATTGGCACCAGGACGCTTCCGTACACATAGGCTTGTTGTTTACTGTAAAAATATAATCCCGATGATAATACTGTTACCCAAAGTGTTAGCCGAGTGTAAATAACTGATGATATTTTTACTGTTGCCTACAAGCCTATGTGTTATTTATTTTATGACCCCGAACAAATACTGTAATTTCAGCTTAATCTAACTTAAGAAAAAAGACCACGTGACAGAAGTTTATAATTTAAAAAGTATTGTTAGCCTATAACAATACAAATTTCATAGGCACGTGATACGCTTGTATTTAAAGTATAAATAATTCCCAATGGCCTATGGGAAATAAACATTACAAAAGTGTGTGTGTGTGTGTGGGGAGGGGGGAGAGGAAATAATATGACTTATTACGTATAGTTCAATATTTTTATTCAACGTATTTCTGTTCTAGTGATTTCTATATAGAGCAAATTATACAGTTTCTGTACCCGGAAAAGCTGTATGTAAGCAAAAGCTATAATACGTGAAAGCATTATAAAAACATCTTGCAATTAGTCCATTCGAAAATTATTCGACATTTAGTGGATTAAAAACTTAGTGTTTTGTAAGATATCCACATGTATGTGACCGTTGTTAAAATCGCCTAGATTGGCAATATACAGCGTCGTGTTTATTAACTATAATGGCAAGGACGTCGACATTTCCTTTTAATGTGGC